ACCGCCCGCCCCAGACACCGCCCGCCGCCCCCCACCCTCGGCCCCGCCGGGACCCGCCGAGGAACCACCTCCCCCGGCCGCTCCCCCGCACCGGCCTCTGCTCGACAGCTCGGCGATCTCTGCGCGCGCCTGCCATCGATGGCCCCGCCCCCGATCAGGCCCCACCCCTTCCCCTTGTCGGCCCCGCCCCCGATCAGCCCCCGGGCCCGCCCCCGATCATGCCGGTTCCCGGCCGGGCCCCGCCCCGGACGCGCCTGGCGGGGGCGGTTCGGGCCGTGCCGGGGCCGGGGCAGCGCCGTGTGCGGGGCCGGGATCGCCCCGGGCTGGAGCGGGGCCTGGAGCGCGGCCTGGAGCGGGGGCCGGACAGGGCAAGGTACGTCCGGCGGCCGGACCGGCTCCTTCGCGTTATCTGCGTCTGGCGCGCCCTTTGTGTGGTCTGTGTTTTCCTCCGCGCAGGGGCTGGGAAGGGAAGGCGGGGCTGTCCGTGCTCCCCCGGAGCTCCGCGGGGTCCCTTGGTCGGGAGGGTGTCCCGGGGCCCCTCCCGGGTGGGCAGCTCCGTTCCAAGCCCAGGGGCAGGTGCGCTTCTCCTTCCTGGCTGCTGTTTAACTCGGGCGCTCCCTTTGCGGTGCTGTGGCCGGGGCTGGTGTAATCCCGGCAATGCCCTTCCCGCCGGACGGGCTGCGGGACGGCCCCGCCCGCCCCGGGCCGCGCTCCCGGCCCTGCCCGGTCCCGCAGAGCTCCGGGCCTTGCGGGACGGACGGGGGTTCTTTTCAAGTATTGATACAGAATCTGTTGTTGAACCTTTTGCTTTGCCGTGTATCGCTTGTCTCGGTTTGGTCTGCGGTTACAGCCGGTGCTTTAAACTGAAAGAGTAAGAATTCAGTTTTAAAAAGAGCCAGTTTTAAAAAGCTATACATTTGCAGCCCAGCAACGGTGCATCGAGCAGCCTTGCGTATAATATCTGACTTCTGTGGTTTGGACAGGAGTCACTCATTGAGCATTACAGTTTTGCAGATTATGCCTGTTAATGAAATGTGACCCTAATTTCCTTAGAAGACCAGAAGTTAGTACTGTCTTTCTTGATAGTAAATGAAATCATTTTAATCGGATCGTATTTTTTTCAAGAAACAGAAACGATAAAGTGATTAAAGCATGTAACTTGTGCCAGTAATGACGCAGACCTGCTTCTAGCCCCTACAGAGATTTCTTTCCTAGTTTTGGGGAAGTCACCTATGTCTTTACAACTTACTTTCCTTACATATATTGGGTTTATTAGGTTTACTACAATTTTAATATGCTTTATATGTGTTACATACTTTCTTAAGATTGGTATTTCATATATATATAATGAAAAACCCAGAATGTAACAGGCAGAAAAACTATGGACATTTTAAAATTTTCTCCCTTTGCAGTTCCATTGGAGCTCTAATTTTCATCCCTGTGTGTGGATCTGTTCGCCCATGGGGAGATGGTTTTGCTCTGCCATCTGTTCATTTGGACGTGCTTACGTGGTCCAGGATTTTCTGCCAAAGTTTTAAGAGTTCCTTGGAACTTTGTCATGCGACAGTATTGCTTAACAGTGGAAAATAAATGCTTCGTCTCTTGAGAACTCCAGGAAAAAGGAAAAAGAAGGAATTTTTTTATGCTGGAGCAGTTTGCTTTTTTTTCCTGAGCAGCAGCAAAGGCGCTTGTGTTCTTTTCAAAAAATTTATTACTATGCTCAGTCACATTTCATCTGTTCCCAGAATGTGAAGAACTCAGCTCTTGAATAATAGTTTTCTCGAGCATTTATAAGAAATTTATCTTTCTGGTATGTCTTTTATTGTTAGATGACTAGTAACTGCCCGAGAGAATGTCGTGGAAGAGTTTCCATTCTGATCTTCTGTTTTCACTAACAGTGTCCTTATCCCTTACCTCTGAGATGGAAATTTTCCATGTTTAACTCTTAGAAGCTAGTTTTAAAGAGTGGTCAATCATGCATGTGGGAATGGGAGAAATCATGGCTGGGCTTCCTCTTTACTCTGTCACGCTGAGAGAATCATGATGCTCTGAAATAAAACCTAATGTGCCACCTGGGAACTTTACAGATGTAAACAAGAGCAGCTGTAGCTCGCTGGCAGCAACAACACTGTGTCCCGACATGGAGGTTAGAAAATTCTAAGAGCATGAGAGGAAGGGACCAAAAAGTTGTGTGTTAACAATGTGCTGCTGAACAAATTTTATCCCTCTTTATGCAGAATGCAAAGCCAAAAGCATATTAGTTAACATGACTTCACCTACAAATATACCAAAATTTTAAATGCCTCACATCCATGTGTAGTGATATGAAAGCTGGTAGCCATATTTTATGCAGAATATGGACTTCCACTAAGTGGCTGCGTTACATCAGCAAAGAAATCTTGGGGAAACATGCTTTTTTAAAGTCTGAAGTTAATTATTTCACCCGTTTTCAGTTTACCTAAATAAATGGTTTTGCTATGCTTACGGAATTCTAATAGGTAAAAGCTGCATAATTTTCCTTCTCCCAAGTTTAGCTGGTTATACCATGATTAGGTATGTGCTTTATAACCTCCAATTATTTACCGTTTTAATGAATCTGCATTCTGTTGGAGCAATGCTCAGAGTTCTTTGATAACATTTTTTCAAGAGGGTGATATCCATATTATCAACCTACAGGTGATAGGACTCGAGGAGAACATTTTAGTCAATAGACCAGACACTTCATTCTTAAATTCTTTCAGTTATCTGAGTGGAATCAGGGCTTTGGTGACAATGCTTTTAATAGCTCACATTCTAGCAGCTTTCCTTTTCTAGTAGCTGAAGAGAGTAGGTCCACTGCCAACGTCAGTCTTGTATCCTCTGTCATTAAAACTTTGCAGAAAAGTCTTCTACTTCTAGCTCATTTGTATTCTCCTTATTCTTCTAAGTGTCTTCTTGTTCATGAGTGCATTTTAGGTGCAGGGTGTGGGAATCAGGCACAGCAGGGAATCTGAATCCCAACATCTAGCAGAGTGGTAGGAAGTGCTACATACACCCTTACCTTGACTAGCACAGGGATGCAAGCTCATAATAATGTTTGCTGTTGGCAGAACTGCATCACAGCTTTTCCTGCTGAACCTGACCAGTGTCAATGATGGCAAGACTCATAAGTGCTGCACCATATACCCTTTGGATCTTTTTCTTTTCGTATACAACAAATGAAGGTATGTTTGTCAATATTTTAGATTATTGTACTGAAGTTTTTATTGACAGCATTTTTCCATGACCAGTAGGCAATGCTATTACCACTAATTAACTACTATAAAATTTGTAACTTCAGATGTCATAAATAGCCTTATACTAGAATAAATTCTTAGATTTTTTTTCTTTGCATTGAACTTTTCCATAGGGTCTAGAAAAATTAGAAATTTGCAGAAAGGAGAAACACGTTTGGAAAGTCATTTCCTTCCGCATTATATGATCTGCACTGGACACCTCTGAGATGGGCTCGGTCAGAGCATGGTGCTAATAATAACAAGGTTGTGGGTTCCATCCCTGTATGGGCCATTCACTTAAGAGTTGGACTCGATGATCCTTGTGGGTCCCTTCCAACTCAGAATATTCTGTGAAGTCTGTAATGCCTGTGGGAGGCTTTCACTGCCTGGCCTCCTTCCCCCGGTGCAGGAGGCCTGAGCTTCTCCTCTCTGGTGTGAAGCACAGGCAGGTAAAATGCTAAAGGAACACTGAAGTAACTCCTAAGGAAATTCCTAAATTCTCTATGCCACCGTGTAGTTGCCTGGATTTGAACAGATTTGGCAGGCCCTGGCTGTGACTGTACCTGCGCAGGGGTGGAGGAAGGACGGGATCTGGAGTGTCCCTGCTGCGCCGCTGGCCTGCCAGGAGGTGTTGAGCCCAAGTGCTGCTGGTTCCTTAAGGGTTATTTTGTCAAGTTCAACTAGCAGAGGCTCAATATAACCATGTTTTTTCCTTGGATCTTTTATGATATTTGATTATAAATACAATTTAGATATATAAAGTCATGGTTTTCAGTAATGCATTTTTATTCTCTGGAAAATGAATTGTGCATTTTGCTTGCTGTAATTTGTTTTACTAGTTCTGCAGTGCCTACAGTTTCTTAGGTCTTGTTTTGTTTTATAAAGCAAATCAAAATAGTAAAAAGACAGTTTAAAATAGCCTGTCTAAAAAAATGAAGATTTATTAACTACTGTCTTATGTACTATGAAATAGTGCAGTTGAATTAAGGAGAAGCATCAAGGTTTGCGAGAGTGCATTGGCTGGGTTGTCTGATCTGGGTAATCCCACATTTTCTATAAATGATCTTTATCAAAGTTTAATTTTACAGTGTTTCCTTTGGGTTTGTTTGCCTAGTTAGCTACATGTTTTAAATTTCTTCAGCATGGTGTACTATTTGACGATTAGACAAGAAATTCAGTATTTCAGTTCCCTTTTTTAACAACACTAACTCAAAATAAATTCTGTACTGTATGTAGTTTCAAAAGGAAACTCTCAAATATCTGAGGTTTAAAAAAATATATGGTGTACCAGAGATGGAAAAGCGAGAAGGTCACGGAAAAAGAGTAGAGAATATAATTTAGAGTTCTGAAAAGACATGTGGACACTGAAAGGCAAGATAAAGTAAAGCTGTTAGTTGTCATAGCTTAACACAGGAGGAAGAACTTCATTTAATTGAAGTATTCTTGAAAGCATAAGATCATTAACACATTGAAAAATAAAATAAAAAAGCAGTGTGACTGCTAAAGTGTTGCAGAAGTTTAACTTGCTGCTTTTCTGATGATTCTTGGGGGTTTTGGAAGAATCAGGGACCATGCAGAACAAAAGGGAACCTAACATGGTACTGCCATCCAGAGAGGACATAACAGCAATAGTTCATACCTACAGGATAAATATGTTACCTTAGTAACTAAACCAAAACATTTCCTAAGTATTTGATCACTAATGAAACCATGCCTGCAGTCAGTTCTAGGTTTGTAAACAGTCAATATACCAGACAATTTATAATCTAAGTTTTACAGATCCCATTGTGTTGTGTCTCATGTCCACTAAAAGGCAGCTGACCATCACATTTTACATTTTCAGATGCCGTACTGTCTCAGGCTATGCAGAAGTTGTATCAGAAAAAATAACACAAGTGGACTACAGAAAAGTAGAAATGTAGGGGACATAAAATGAAATTAGGTACTTTCAACAAAGTTTTTTGCTTGGGAGGAATAATCTGAAACTGAAGTACCAATTAGAAAGAATAAGCACATGAAGCAGCAGTGGCTGAAGGACAAGGACCTTGCAGGATGTGAATTGTTGTCAACTGAATTATGCATTTGCAATGTAAATGACAAGCACAGAGAGTTTCAGAAACTATCAGAAAAATTTCAATTAATAGGATTCTAAAAACCAATCAAAGCTATTTTTAATTTCTTATAGGAAACTGAGATGTAAAGTAGGAAAGAAGGATTTATATTTGCACAACTTGTGCCAAAAAAGGGAGGTATTATTATTTACCAATAAAACAGAAGTCAAACATCAGAAACGGCAAGTAATTGTCTGGGATGATAAAAGTATTAGCTATTTCTGACTGCTACTGAGAAGTGATCACACTCCAGCACCAGAGTTGGCAGACTGTTAGTGCAAATAACAGCATGACCTTACTGTCACATAGCTGATCCTCTTCTGTTCCATGTCTCACTCATGTGGAGTGCATTGAAATAATAGAAAGTGAGGCTGGAAGGGATACTGAGGATTGTGTATTTTTTACTTAAATACAGATAGTGAAAGAGGTTATAAGTTTGAACATGGAGAGTGCAGAGACTTTTGGCTTTCCTGTACCCCCAAGTGCCTGGCACATTGTGACTCTCTCCTGGGCTCCGAATGCTCATAACAATTGCAAGTAGAAGACAGAACAGGACATACTGTATGAAATGAAGAAAAGTGTATACTAGAAGAAAGTCGGTGGCAGGAAGATCATCTAGGCATAGGGGAGCTGCTCTGGGGAAGCAGAAGGCATGCATGTGGGAAGCTTAGAACCATTATAGGTAAAACATGAGTCATGCCTGTAGACAGTGATCCTGGTCTTGACTGTTAATTATCTGCATTTTGGTTTTTTAACCTTTTGTATTTAATAGGTGGGATTATGCGATTTTGTAATTAAATACTGATATGTTTTACATAAAACTATTGGAATTGGATTTTCTGTGCTTGGAAGTCTGTGTTGGATGAGTTGTGCCTTTTTATTTCAATTACTATTGCAGACTCTTCCTCTCCAAGATCATAGACATTGTCTCCAGAAAGGTGGAGACAGTTGGTGATGTGCCCCTCTTGCCATTTACCTAGACTCAAAAGATAACAATGCTTTCAATTAATTTACAGGGTTTTGGTAGCTCTATTTAAATGAAAAAGTTAATGTTTCTGCTTAGTCCAGTTTATTCTTCTGATTCTCTTGCTTCTCATTGTGTGCTGCTTCTCCCTAGTTATGACTGCAGGACACATACAGGAATTTGCATGTTTCACTGACTTTGACAAAGAGCTGGTTTGTCACTGGAAGGTGCCAGCACAAACTAACTGTTCCAAAGAATTCCTGCTCTGCTACAGCAAGGACGTTTCTTCTGTGTCGTAAGTGCTTCATAAGATGTTACACTGCCATTGTTGGAGCTTCGTATGTCCTATAGTCACTATTGGCTTTAAATCCCTCCCTCTACCATGGGTGTCTGTGACAAAATGTAATTCAGATTATTCTTCTTGCCAGGAGTAAAATGGGTTGCTACAATTAACAGCACACTCTGTTCAGTGGCCTAATCTTCCATAGAATTCTCCATTCTCTTAGTACAGGGGAAGGATCCTACTGGCAGGAGTGTTAGGGCTCTTGTAAGTTAACAAAACCCTCATTTCATGCAAAATTTTACCTTCTTCATGAGAAATCTTACCTTATTTACCAGTCTGTAGCCTGTGTGAAAGGTACTCTCCCTTGGAGCCCAGGTGATTTTGTCTGCATGCAGTCTAACTCCATGTTCAGGCACAGACTGTTGTGCCTGTTCTGCAGCAGGGCCAGTCATCATCTCCTGCAAAGGAAGATCTGTGTTTTCCTGTTCCTCTCTGTATGATTTCACCAAACCCACGTCCAGATAACCTCACTCATACACTGCAGTAAGCCTATTCCTATACTAACAAGCTGTTAGTCTGCTCTTTCAGAGACTGAAGTGTGACGAAGGGTGGTAATTTTTCCTCTTGGGATCAATCCTTAGCCTTTCTGTCAAGTTTTTCATTTGTGCAATTCAGATATCCAAGGGGTATCTGCGAAGGGTGGGTTGTTTGGGAATCTCAGTTTTGGTTTGGAAACATTTCCAGGAACTGAGCTTGTTTGTCTCAGATTTGATTAGCTCTGCACATTGGGAAGCTTGATTTCACCTTTTCAAGGAATAGTGTGACACACTCTCTAAACATCACATAATTTTGTACCTGTTTTTCAGAAACGTGTGTGTTCCTGAGAATGGAAAAGACGCTTTAAGGTGCATTTGCACAATATGTCCAGATTATTTTGTATCAGGCCTCACATATGTTTTAGCTCTACAGTTCAATGGGACTGATATATGGAACTACAATGTTACACCAGCCCTTGTTGGTAAGAAATTGTTTAGATGTCTGGTTCCAGGCTTTGCAATTCTAGATTACTGCTCATTCATGTCACCAGAGCAGTTTTTCCTTATCAGAGGTGGAGAGTGCCACGCGGGCTTAAATGCAAGATCTGTTTGTCTTAGAAACCTAATTCTGGATTAGATTCCTAAGGAATGAGTATAAGTAATGGGGAAAGCAGAGAGTGATTCTTTGTCTAGCTGTACCCTCTCAGCTGTGAGCCAGCAGCAGTTTGGGGTCTTAGATTTTAATGCTTTTTACTTGTGGCTGTAGAATTACAGGATGAAGAGGAATGTGTTACTTTCAGTTTCTAGAAAGACACTAGGCTATCCCCACTGAAACTTCTTCCATTTCTGCCTCTGTTATACTCTGATTTTTCATGCAAGTTAAATCATGGCACATGAACAGAAGATTTTTTTACAGTAATTGCTGTTATATTATAACAGTCAGTGATTAAAAGTGCATAAATCTGCTCTGTCACAGGACAGGGTGTAGATACAGTTCATGTCTCTCCCTAGGCCCCCAGTTTGGTCAGAACAGTGTACACATTGTTAACGCTTGTCACCTCAAACACTCAGAGAAATCACTCACATACCTTAGACAGGCCAAGGAGTTGGTTCACTTCAGAAGACTTGATTGTTGCTGCTGCTTATCAGCCAGATAAGCAAGAACCTGCCTCTGTTTCCAGGAGCCAGGGAGCCAGGACAGCTTGGCTGTCCCACAGCTGCTCCTGGCAGAGCACAGGCTGTTCTTGTTTCTCCAGGCTGAAAGCTGTGTCCAGTGCACCAAAAGGCTGTACTTGCAGTTTGTTTAGCCAGCTTGAAGAATCAGTGCTTGTTAATAAATTCCTTGAAGTTGCTCTGGTTTGGCTTCTTTATCCTTGTGCTACAGCATACTGAAAAGGGCTAAGTGCTCTAACGGCAATGATATTCTGGTCTCTGGTGAATGCTTGTCACTCTGATCTCTCCATCAGTTCTTTCCCATTTTCATGTTGTCCTTAATTGTATTTTTTGACATACAGTTAAGCCGAGGGCCCCCAAAAAACTTACCGTTCAGAAGTCTGAAAATGGTAATTTCAATCTGAGCTGGGAGGAGAGCTACTCTCCTCCATCCACACTCTCTGGACAGCCAGTCATCTATGAACTGAAATACTGGAGGAAGCAGCACCCGATGGAGGTAAGACACAGCTAGTAGTCTCTTCATTTTCAGTCCCTCTGGAGTTTTCAAGTTTAACAAGTCCTCTCAAATTCTTGAAACCACTTCATGAATAATGGTGTAAGGGCCAGCAAGGGCAAGTCCCACAGTGTTCCTGATCATACAGAATCACAGAACATTCTGGGTTCCACCAGGATCATCGAGTCCAACTCTAAAGTGAATGGCCCATACAGGGGATCGAACCTGTGACCTGGGCATTATTAGCACCAAGTTTTAACCAACTGATCTAATCTCAGGGTCACTTGCCACAGGTCATGTTGCCCCAAGGTGACTCAGCTGGGCGTTAAAGGACTGAAACTGTTCTGACTGCCACCCCAAAATGGTCTGCTGCTTGCAGTAGTCAGAGATTGAAAATACAGTGCTCCTGTTCCCTGAACTTCATTTGCTCCTAAGATATCAGGAAGGTGGATGCTGTTGGTGGCTCCATGGAGCACCTGAGGCTCTTAAGACACCCTCCTGAACAATCCAGCGCTTTATGGCTGGGCTTCTTCTGATAGAAGCAGAACATGCATGGTGGCATGTCACAAATACCCACTGATGACAGCAAACTGCAGTATTACACACAGTCATTCAATAGCTCATTTGTGAAAGATCACTGAAACACGTAACACTACTGGTGTTTAGTTGCCATCACTAACCCTTCACCTTATAAAGAAATCAAAGTGAACTTTCTCACTTTTTTTTCAGGTTTCTGTAAAAGCAATTAACTACCAGGCAAAAAGCTTTGAGATTACTGCAAGCTCCTTGAGGAGGGGCTATGATTACGTTGCAAGTCTCAGGTGTAACTACACAGACTACCCGGCCTACTGGAGTGAATGGAGTGAAGAAGTTGAATTTCACAATGGTAATGCTGTCAGAAATAGCAGCTTGGGAAAAGGATGGTATAGTCTTCATATCCTGCTGCTCTCTTGGAGGAGAGTTACAGAATTATCTTCTTCATCGTTTTGTATGTAATGTTAGTACGTCTGTAAAGGCTTCCAAAGACACTAACCATAAAAAGGCAACTCCTGGGCCTCACAGTGCACATTGGCTCTCCCAGCAGCTAACACTTCCAAGTAACTGGCCACAGTACATTTGCTGTTCTCTGACACCCCACACACCTTCAGTATGGCAGACCTGTGGGGGTCTGTTGTTTATCTGCTGGAGGCTCTGAAGAAGCGTATTTTTAAGGTGCAGAAGAGCAGCAATGAATTTGGTATTGCCAGTGCTTTTATTTAGATGCACACTCACATGTAAATGTCTGGGGTTTTTTTAACAGATTATCAAGTGACAGCTGAAGACATTCTGCAGATGGCTGTGCCCATATCCTGCATACTGATCATGGCAGGATCTGTCATTTGCTACTTCTGTTTTACAAAGTACGTATCATACTGGCTCAGGATTTATAGAGCAACAGCTTACACAGCCATCAGTATTGCTATTGATAAGCTGAATGTCTGCTAGTACAGGAGTCTGAGGGTTTGGGTTTTCTCAATACCTTTATCAATTGTCTGAGCAGAGGTTTTATAAACACGAATCCCTTGTGCTCTATCATTTTCTGAATAGTCTCTATTAATCTTACTAGAATGGTCTTGTTATAGTAGGGGTTTGTCAGTTTTGCTGGAGTTCCAGTAATGATGGTTAAATGTCTTTATTTCTTTTCAATTTCTTTTAGTGGCAGTGTGAAAGTGAGATCCTATCTGTTTCACACATAATTTCAAACATGATTAGAAGAACATGTGACTTGCATTGTGCAGAGCAGTCACATACCAAACATATAAACACCTTTGCACTGGTTTAATGAAAAGCAGCACTTGGAGATGTACAGAACAAGCACTTCCTGTTGCTGCAATGCAGGTGCCGAAGAGGGAGAGGAGAACAGAAGAGGGAAATATACACTGATGAAGCCCAAGTGGTCAAAACAATTTTCATTCTTCCCTTGCAGAGTGAAGAAAGAATGGTGGGATGAAATCCCAAATCCGGCAAAGAGCCATTTGGTTGTAAAAAATGTCAAGGTAATTTAAAAGCTTTGCAAAAAATACCTATTCCTGATCACCAGAAGTAGAATGTGTTATAAGTGCTATTGTCTGTCTAGTGCAGGGGATACTAAATACAATTCATATGTGTCCTAAATCTCATTTGTGTCCTTATTAGTTTTCAGTTTTCTGCTACTTCGATGAAATTAAGTTCCCTTTCCATGACTTAAAGCAGAGTCATATGGAAAAGCAAATGTAAGTAAGATATTAAAAAATACACCTCTGCTTTACAGCATAAAGTAGTTTCCTGTTACATAAACATTAACTGTCCTTTCCCTTTGACTTCCAAAAACAGAAGTTGCAAGAACTGTCTGGCTCAAAGTTTGTCAAGCCAAAACTTCAAGGAAAAAGATAACATCAGAAATGTTGAGAAATCTTGCAGCTGCCACAGCAAGTGTGGAGAGTGGTTGCCAAAAGGCAGCAGTGCAGTTTTAACCCCTGATACAACTCCATTTGAAGACATTATTGAAATCTGTGAATGTTTAACAGACAGTGAGACTGGGAGCCAGGAAGAGACTGGCAACCAGATCACCGTGTTTGAGCCTTGTGAGAGCAGCATTGGTGCTTTCAGAGAGCACAATGAGGCACTAGCTAACATGTTTGATGCACTCCTGGCAGATGAAAATAACATGCAAGACAATAAAGACCCAGACATCCTCACAGGTGAGAGGAAAACATTCAAGAAACTTGAGTTGGAAAATCCACCACAGCGAAATCCAAAAGAAAGCACAGCCCAGAGTCAGCGGCCATGTGATATTTCTCATACAGCCTCTCTTTTCACCAAAGCCTCTCAAGATGACTACAATTGTAGTACATCCAGCAAGGAGTCAGAACTGTCAGAAGAATCCTTTGAATCTGGCTATCAGAGCTCCAGCATAAATTCTGCTTCTCTGGATGCTAGAGATCTTCAACAAATGGTTCATCAAAACCTTTTTCTACACAGTTCAGAAAGTGAGCAGGACTCTTGTGTCCCAATCCAGGAATCTACAAATAAACCGTTCTTTGGGACCAAAACAGACAGAATAAACAACCCTGCAAACAAGAGTTTTGATACCCTTGTGTCTGCACCCGTGGGGTTGTGTGGTTCTGCATATAAGAGCTTTGACTCCCTTATGTCTCCATCTGTGGAGCCCTGTAGTTCTGCCTACAAGAGCTGTGACACCCTTTCGTCGCCATCCCTGGAGCCCTGTGGCTCTGCCTACAGGAGCTTCAGTGCCCTCATGTCCCAGTCCATGGCCAACAGTAGCCTGACTCTGTGCTCTGAAGGTGCATGTTCCTCACAGCCTCCAAGACAATTGTCAGAGACACCAGAAGGCAGCTGTAGAGATCAAATTGCTCAGCCCGCTGACAGTGGGACATGTCATGTCAACTACAGATCTCCCTACACTGAGCTTGACTTTCCAAACACCTGTTCAGAGCATACTGATTTTCCATCTTTCTCCACGCATGCAAATGAAGGTGCTTCAGCTTTCCTATCAGAGGAAGAAATACATAATCAAGTAATATATCGAAATTTTCCAAAGAAAACCAGTATAATTTCTTGCCCTATTGCACCTCAGCCATCAGGTTATCAGCCTTTTGATAGTGCAGGTAAATGTAATGGTCCATACTGTGACAGTGAGGTTATCTCATTACAGGAATCCTTCATTGGTCTGTGCAACAATCTCAAAGAAACACCTCCAGATACTGCAATCTGTGAACTTGACCTGAGGACAAAGGACTGTGTGTGTTTGACTGTTCAGAGTCCTGGTTGCAGCATTGTCCCAGGTTTAGCCTCTGGTGAGAATGACACACAGACCAGTAATGGCAGCCCTGGGATCGATAACTCTTATGAGCTGTCTAGTGATAGCAATGACGAAAATATCAGCAGAGAGGAACAGCTGTTGCATTTGTTAGAGCTGAACTGTCGAGATTTAAACAGCAGAGAAAGAACTACACAGGGAACAAAACAGAACAGCTTTAACCCTACTGGCAAAGTAATGCAAGAGAGCAGCAACAACAAACTGAATACTGACTGCCACTGCCACCCACACAACCACTTGAGGGAACTTGGAGCTGCAGGGGGAAGTGAAGAGATGCTGAAGCATGTAGAAGGGAAGGGGAGTGGCTCAGCAGCCGGCTTACCAGCATCACTGGACAGCATTAGAATGAACTTAGGCAGAAAAACTGCAGGGCCCCTGGAGCTCCACATCTCAGACAAGCTGTCGCTTTGTTGTCTTGTGAATAACTCCAGTCCTTCTGATTCTCACACCATTCACAGTGAGGACTCCAGACTGGCACTTGCAGTTAAAGAAAGACCAACAGAACTGTTAAGGGAAAACAGCAAGAAGAATGGGAAAAAAATGAAATTTGCGCAAGCCCTTGCCCAAGAGGACAACAGCTATATGGAGGTAGCTTAGTCACATTTGCCAGGACCGAGCAAGCCTTTGGAAATAAACTGTATGGCAAATTGAAATGTTGCTTGTTATTGCAATCTTGACTGAAATGAGGGCTGCTACTGTTCACACATCTCTCAGGGGGTTGTAGCACCAGTGTCTGCCCAGGACTGGCAGCCAGGAGGTGGTGCAGGCCCCTGGGGACAGGTGGGGGTGGCACCCAGCAGCTCTGCTGGGGCAAAGCCAGAGCTGAAGTGTCTCCAGCTGTGAGTGATCTCTGAAAGGGAGCAACAGCTGCAGGAAGCAGAAGTTCTTAGTACAGTTCCTGTGGTTATTGCCCTGGTTGTGTGTTGCTTGGGAAGCACACAAAGGTGATGTGGAAGGTGCTGACACACGTGGAAGTGGGACATAGGTGCAGGTCAAAGGGGAGGTGACTGACTTAGCACACAGCTTCCATAACTTATTTCTTTTGGGGTAGGGGGTGTTGTCCTGTGTGCCTAGCCCTAGCATGGGGTGTATGTTTCCATGCCCGCTCAATCAAGACATGAAATACAGATTACTGTCATTTGGGCTTACACAGTGCTATTATTGGTCATTAGTTTCTTACTCTGTAAAAGCAAGCAGAATTACTTCATACTTCTGCAGCTGTAAATGGCATCAGACATTTCTAAGCAGTGTTTTCCCAGAAAGCTTATCTAATGTGTGGTCCAACACCGTACCTTCATGGAACATTTTTTTGGCTTCTTGTTCTTGTCCAGTTGGAATGGGAATTATGCACGCAGCTTAAAGGCTGTATATACTTCTTGTTAGATAATTATTCAAGAAATTTTACTGACAACTCCGAACTTCTCTACAGTGTTATCATATATTTTGATATGGTAAATTCCACCCTAGTATGCTGGCAGTGGTACAAAACAGTTAAGAACCATCAAGTAATATTTTGTGTATTAGAATGTATACATGTATTCTCCTTTAGAAAACCCTATTTGTATTCCCATTCGAAAGGAAGGAAACCATAATGCTAAGCACAGCAACTGGTTTTAACATATTTTGTAAGTAACATTTTTGTACTGTAAATCTCTCTTCCGAGTTGGCCAAGTAGTGGAGGTAACTTCGTCAATTTTACAACACTGAAAAAAGGGTATGTAAGCCCAGGAAGGAGACTTGCAGTGTATCTGTATTTAGATGAGATAGTTAATATTTATACAGGCATTGGGTTGTAGCTCACTTTCACCATGGTGGTGGTTAGTGGAAGATCTTGCTTGTAGCTAAGGTGCTGATGAACATGTTATTTATTTGTTTTAACCAAAAATGTCAGATTAAATTTTATTTTCACTCAGGAGAGGTTTAATTCTGTCAGAAATACTCTTCTCTTTACATGAGGGTGGTCACTGCTGTAGTTGGCATCAGCACAAGTTCTGTGAGATGGGAGGCTGTGAGACACACAGAGGAAGATGCTTTTCAGGACCCATCAGCCACAGCTGCACTGGAACAGTGAAGCAGCAGAATGCAGAGAGGCCATGGTCTGCATCATAAGTAAGCTGACTCCACAAAGTCAAGTTTAAGCAAAATCCAAGAGTTAATACTGCTGCCTGGAATGGGTTACTCACTGTTTACTCTAGCAGCACAGGGATCTTCTGGGAGGGGCAGGGACACCAGTGGTGCTTTCTTCCCCTTCTATTCTTGTGCTCTTCCTTGTGTTCTTTGTGAAATCCTGCAGAAAGGCTTTGTGCTTGGCTGGAGAGGTCTGCTCAGGCCGGGGTTGAAAAGCTGTTTGCTGCAGCACTTGGTCCTCCCCAGCTCCATTCTGCCTTTCCCTGGCTTTTTTTCTTCTGCATAGCTATGCCCTCTGGTCTGCCCATTCCCATCGGATGGCTTTCTGTGGGGGGGGTATTCTTCCCTTTCTCTCCCTTCAGTGTTTCTCTGGCAAAATCAAACTCTTAACTCTTGGAGAAGGGGGATCCCTGTTCCTCTGCCGTTGTATAACCCAGAACTGGAGATGGACAGCGGGGCTGGGGACAGCTGTCTGACTCCCCCTCGTCCTGCAACAGGCCCAGGGCCTGGCTACAGTGGGAGCTGAGTTCACGTTCCATCCCTGTCACTTTTGCCATCCAAAGCAATTGCCAGGCTACGAAACACAGGTAGGCTTCAAATGACAGGTTTCCAGCCCAGACTGGTGATCTGCCCCCTGAGCAGTGTGTGGGAGTTGTGAATTTGGGCTGGCACTGAGGGGTCTGGACTGAGCTCACCACCTGGGGACCAGCCTGTGCCTGCAGAGGCAGCTCACCCTCGTCAGAGGAGCTTCCTTCCCGGAGACTGGAACCCTCCAGGCATGTCCTTTTTGCTAGTGGAGGGCTCCTGCCAGGGCAGAGAATTACTGATCATAGTAAGTGCATTTTCAGTGGTTTTCAGTTTGTTTGGAAAGGCTGCAGTGCAAGTGGAGGCTTGTGCCAAGTTTTAGCCTAGTTGTAATGTCATTTATTACTCTCGCACAATCGCTCCACCTCCACATCCTTCTCACCTGGCTGCCTACCAAATATTAGCAGCCTGACTCACCATGAGTGAAATAGGTTCCCAAGAAAAAAAGCTGGTGTGTTCCCAGTTCAGGAGAAGCTAGTTCCAATACACTTTTTTTCAATCGCAGAAGTGCCCCAGGCTTAGATTTTTTTGTTTCTCTTCTGACCAGTGTTGGCTCCTTGGAAATATGCAGCTGTACGGATCAGCTGCTGACAAATTCGCATCAATCACAAGGTTTTTCATTGCCTGTGGAAAACTAACAATACCCACTAGTATGGAGCAGGAGCTTGAGGATGTGGAGTCAAGTTATTGGGGATAGGGACAAGTTAATTTAGGACAGGGTCAGCTTTTTAAATAACTTGCCTCTGCATCTTGCTTTGTGACCCTACATCACTGAGGCAGGATGCAAGGATGTCCCAAGTGTTCATTCACCGTGAGCTTTATCTAAGAAACCCAGTTCTTTTAAGTGTTGCAGTGATAGGGCCAAAGGAACAAAGGGTTAAGAGAATCAAGTGAGGGGGTTGTGACTTGTTCCCTAAGGTTTACCTCTGACTGTGGAATTATGTGTCAAAACTCCTTAGTGAATAGAGGCTGAGAGGACAGTTTTTGTTCTCCTAATCAAGTCTTATCTGTAGAAAACCCCTTGGGGAACGTGACTTGTGCAGTTTGTGTTCTAGCCCTGACAGAGGTGCTTCTAAAGTGTGTTATTTTGCATGCAGTTGCTTTCACAAGACATACATGTTTTCTACTAATATTGGGGGAACTGTGCCTGTGCAATGCCCAGGTACGTGCGGACATGCACAAACACACATGTGGATCATGTCCCACCTCTGCAGATTCCTGAGTACAAGGTCTGCCCCAGGCTCCCATGTGATGATGTATCATGATCTCGCATTACCCAGAATTTTGGTTTTTTTCACCACTCTGCTGTGACTGAGCCGTGTTGTGCCATCAGTGTCTCATCAGCTCTTGCAGCCACTTCCACAGCCCTCGAGGCCCCTCCAACTGCGCCGCAGTGACGAGGTCGGAAGCCAAGCAACAGCTCAGCAGGAACTTGCTGCCAATCACAGCAGGGAGAGCAGTGAACTGGGCTGGTTTGCAGCTGCAGGGCTGTCATTTCTCAAAGCAGATTGTTCTGAAGCAAAGGAAAAACAGTCAAGTGAGGAAGAGAGCACTTTCCAGGTACCTCACTAACACAACCAAAGTTAAAGCTTACTGAATTGCCATGCCTCAGAGTGTTTTCCCAGAGTGTCTAATAACAGCTGTCAGCAGCACCACTGGTTTGCTAAATCCTGAATGTTCTCATTCCTTGTGACAAGCTGAGAAAGCAACATTGAGGGGAACTTTGCATCTCAAGGTGCTTTTCTCTATTTGTCCCTTTTGCTGTCCTGCTTCCAAACTGTTCCTTATAGAAAGACATAGATGGAAATTTCCATACCATTGGCTGTCTACCCCTCCAGCAAGTCTGCAAGATGAAAGGGAAAAAAAATAGGCTGCAGAATGGGGAACTGGCCGCTGTGGCACATTTAGCTGCATGAGAGAAGCAGCTTCTTTTTTAGCTCTTAGCCAGAATACTCTATAAAACTCTGACCATCTGTGCAGGAGACCTAAGTTCCTGTATTCTGAATGCAGAGTGGCAATTGTCATGGCAAAAGTTGTTGCAGTGAGCCACAGCCTGTCTTTGGTAGAGAGATGGCTGCACTAGACCTGCTCCAGTCGGTGGAGTGTGACAGACATCCTAAGGAGCTCCTGTCCCAGTTCAGTGATGGATCAGCTGCTTCCTTCATCGTGCTCCGTTGTATAAGAGCAGGGCATTCATAGCAGTGTGGTGTTCATCCTCTGCTTGAAGTTTACTGAATTGGTGACTAACACATAGCACTGGGACTTTCCTACTTGCTGCTGTTTCCCCAGCTCTTAGACATGGGGAAATTTGCTGTAAACTGAAGAGTTTGAGGTTGGCTGCTTTTCCCCAGCTCAGCTACTGTTGGTTTCACTTGCAGTGAGCCACCCACACAGCAGCAAGAGCTATAATGAGGTGAGAAAGCACTAGACTGTGTTCTGCGGGTAGAATTTCCACACCTGGCTCGGGGTTATAACCACTCCCCAGTTCTTGTCTTGAGGCTGTAGAGCTGCTGTGAGAACCAGGAACGCACTGGCCATGGCTGGCCATGGAGACAGTGCCTGTGCTGAGTAGCCAGTTGAGGTCTGGAGGAGCTGGCTCATACTGTGCTGCAATTGCTGACCAGTGCATGTGTCTGGCAGGCCCTGGGCTTGAAGGTTGTGCAGGGCAGTTTGCTGCTGGGTGGTCTGGCCCCTCTGCTGCCTGGCTGAGGTGCTCCAGAAGCACATCGTACGCTCCTACACGACAGGGGCAATGAAGCCATGATGTGCCTTGTTTCCTTCACTAGGGCAGGAATTAAGACCCACAGTTTGATGTGTGCTGCCTGTTTCATGGCCTCATTCTGAGCTGTGCTGGGCCCCTGCAACAGACGATCTTGTCCAGAAGCATCACGGGTTCTTCCCACTTCTGGTCAAGCCACCTTTCCTGTTCTGATCACTTAAAAACCTTCAGCTGTGCTCTTATATTGGGTTTGCATAGCAAGATTTTGTAGCGGAGGGGGGCTACAGGGATGGCTTTTCTGAGAAGTCACCACCTTCTCACCTTTTCTTCTAAAGACACAATATATTGCTGCCAGTGACATGAGAAGTCACTAATTGTGTCAGGACTGTGTGTTCTGTGGTTTAGGGATGCAGCCAGCCATCCCCTGCAGCTCACTGTGTGCCGTGTGAGCCGTTTGCTTTGCTTTAAATGTGCTGCCACAGTCAGAGGTTGAAGACAGCTGGTGCATTTCTCACCCCATAAGAGGAGCGAGAAGCCACCCAAGGCACACTCTGCTGCTGCACCCAGCCCCAGGTGTGGAAGAGCTGCTGTGAAGCTTTGCAGCCAGCCAGCATAGGTGGGACATGCTGATTTTTGACAGCCGTGGTAAACTAAAGCTCCATGAGATCCACGTGAGGCTCTTGCCATAAATAGCTGTGTGCCAGCAGCAGAGCTCTGGTCTTGGTGCATCCTTGCTTGCAGAGGTCTGGAGACAAAGCTGATAGATGTTGCCTCTAATGGGGTTGGGTTCTGCCAACCTGCATGAACAGAGCAGGGAGTTCTGCCAGCTCTGCTGACTCAGGTGAGCTCTGTGGGAATGCGTGACAGCCTTGCTGACCTTGTGCAGAGATGCTCTGGGCATGTTTTGCATGGTGCAGGGAGTTGGGTTTGAGCCTGAACAGAGCTGTAGGTTTCTGTTCCAGATGGTCAGGGTGAGTTCACAGGCACAGTCATTCCTGTTTCTGTTTACCAGCATGTGTCTGGTGATTTCCTAAGAGAAGATACAAGACTCTGTGCAATCTCCTCCATGTGTGCAAGACATACATAGTCACAGCTCTGTGAAGGTAAGCTTTTTTTCTCTGTCAGGAGCCAAAGTGATGTGCTCTTACTACAGCCTTCATGCAGAATTCATGCAGGTTCAGACTTGATGGATATTGGGGAAAATAAGAGGCTGAGCCCAGTGTTGGCAGCTACAGAAAACTGGCAAAGGCAGAAGGGAGGCAAGAGGGCAGGGTGCTGGGGTCTCTGCAGATGGCACTCAGCATTCCCCAGACTGAAAGCAATGCACTCCTCCCTCCCCTGCAGCATCCTGTGTCAGCTCACAGCCACCACCTGCGGAGCTTCGGTGTTTTTCAACCTGCTGCTTTGCTGACTAACACCTCCGCTTTCTGCCTGGCTCATTCATATTTTAGCCCATTTCCTGAGCTTTGAGGTGGCTTCTTCTATTGCTTTCCCTTCCAGTAGAACACTGTTACTCATGTCTCAGCTGTTCTCCTGCTATTTTTCACTTATTGTAATGTATGATTATTTTCCTCCTAAATGTCACCAGTCAGTAATAGGGTGTCTTGACCCTAGAGTTATGCCAGGTCTGTATTTTTGATGGTGCTGAGGATATTGGTTTAACTCCATTGTGACAGGAAGAAAATACAGAGGTAGTACTGTTTGTGGGGAGTTTTTTCCCCAAATCATGAACTTGATAACTGCAAGTGTGACTAGTTCCCTCTCCTACAGGATGGAATTGTCAGCTCTAAATGTTATTTTCTCTGCATATATTCTTGCTGATAAATACCTACAGATACCTATCCTCCTTCCAGTCATGGCAAAATGTTTTTGGGTCATGAATAACTCTAACAGAATCTACCAAGCCTTCCCTGGTGTGCCCTTCACACTTGCTTCTTGGTGAATATTGCCACTGTGAGCTGGGCTGAGACTACACTTTTAGTGAGTTAAGTTTGAGAAAAACAAGCCTTTAGGTGCAATATATTTAAATTTATGAAGCTGTTTGTCTTAGAGTGCCATCAGTGGTTTTGTTTTAAAAATTAGCTCTGTAATATCAAATGCATACAATTGCATGGTTTAAAAGCAGTATGGTTTGTGTCAGCCAGACTATCACTCTTTAGATCGATCACATACCTTTCCCTCCTTTCTCTGCACAAATAACAGTACGGGCACAGCTTGGAGAGTCCTGTGTAATCAGGGAGTGAAGGCTGCACCACTGTTCTGGTCTGCTATCCTCACAACAGAAAGATATTAATAAGTGCCTGGGGAATGTCTAGCTTAGCTGCTCAGCCTCACTGACCCTGTGCTGTCCCACACTGCACCCAACAGTGGTGACAATCTCCACAACCCACAGGCAGCATCAGCTGAGGCAAGTCTTTTCTAGAAGCTTGGGCCTGACACTGTGCCTGCAAGTGATCCACAAAGCACACAGAAGGGAGAGCTAGTCTCTTACAGAGACTGCTCCAAAACACTGTGAGGAGTAGCTTCTGTACTAAGTCTTGGGACCTTCTGTATGTGTGTTCTAACAGTGCACAACCAGCCCAGCTACCAGCAACTACCTGGGAAACATGGTCAAGAGCCACCTGCCCTGGCCTGAAAGACCTGATGTTTCTCCCAGATGGGAAAAAGGGTGGATCAGAGGCATGGAGGGCTGAATGTGGAGCCCACTCATCCTGCACCCTGCTGCTTTGTGCCAACTTTACTGCTGCAGTCTTCTTGGGTTATTCCAGCTCCTTGTTCTTTACCTTCCTACCACCACACTACACTGTGTGTGCCAAATCCCTCCACAGTGCTGCTCATTTCCCTCTTGGCCAAGGACACAAGCATGCATGGGCTCCTTGCAGCCCCTTTTAAGGTAGGTGTAGGTGAGTTGGCTGACCCTCCCTCAGTGTCAGCCTTGCAACCTGCAGAGCCCCAGCCCAGATACAAGCTGTAGGCATGAGATAGGGCAGGGATGAGCCCCCCACCTGTGTAGGAGCCAGACCATATCCCTGCCTGTTGTCTGAGGATTGGTGGTGTTGCCCTGGTCCTGGGGCCATTTTGGGGATGGATGGATGGAAGCCGAGTACAGTGGTGCTTGGCAGTCTCCAATGTGGCACGTGCTGTACTATGCAGTTTGGCTTAGCCCTTTAATACCGTGACACTGATGCCTCCTCACTCCAAGGGTCTTATTCCACCAGCCCCACTATGACCTTTTAGCTATGTGAGTTTTTATCGGCTCTCCCACCCTTTTCTCATGTCAGAGATCAGAGCAGTACAGTAATAAATATTGTGTGGGTGTCTGGACCTGAATTCATCACCTCCTCTCACCACATCCTTCTGTCAGCACAGTAATACTGATACAGTAGTGACGTCAATCTCCATTTATCGCTGTGTATTCCAACACACAACGGCCCTTGGTTGAGCACAAGTAGGCTTTGCTCTTAGTGCAGATGAGACCCACCTTCCCCCCAGCTCCTGCGCAGAGGGGCTCTGCAGTCGCAGTCATGAATTAGCCAGGCTGGCCATGGAGGTGTTGGAGGGCTGAAATGCACAGGACAGGGCAGGTAATGTCCATGTTTCCACCAGTTTTCCCTGCTGCCGGTTTGTTGCTGCTTGATATTTGCAACTTCACTGTAACTCTTTCTTACAGCTGACATGCCCTTTGTGCCCTGCCTGTCATTGCTGTTGGCCTCTACTGAACAGCTGGAGCATTCCCCTGTCTCCCTATTGCTTCAGCTTTGTGATTAGATGGCAGTGTGTATTGATAAGGAATTTTTTTCAAGAAGAGAGCTTGTTTGGGCATATAACTGGTGGAGTGTGTCTTCCACTCTTTTTTTAGCTTGGATGTAGCAAAACTCATTTTCTCATGCTTGGAAATATCCTCTTTTTTACCTAAACTGAGTTCTTAATTAGTTTTGGTTTGAGTTGGGTTTGTTTTTTGGTGGGGTTTTTTTGCTGTTTTGTTTGTTTGCTGGAGGGGGGGTGCATTTGGTTCTGGGATTTGTTTTGTTTTGGTTTTTGGAAGTTTTGTAAGTGCATACATTTCCTGAAAATACTTCAGATTGAGAGCTTAGACTGCATCCGTCTTTGGCAGCTTATAATATCATATTTCTAGATCCTTAACAAAAAATAATCTTCATAAATGTCTGTGTCTGTATTGATCCTGTTTCCTATTCACTGGTATATTAAAACCTTGTAGCATCATTTACATATGCATATCTATATGAATGCTGATCAATTCTATTGCTGTGGTCTTGCACACTGTGCCCTCGGATACCCCAGGGTTTGCAGCAGTGGCACTCAGCAGCTGTACAATGCCTGACATTTTATAAGAATTAAGTGACTGTGTTTCAAGGCTCCGTAAAGCTGACTTGGAGTTCCCGTTTCATAGACCAAGATGGTCTGAATGAGGAGGTAGAAAGAACTTATCTAATGCCTGACAGGGAACAAGCTCCTGGCTCTGCTCATTGCCCCTTGCCGTTCTTCCCTCCAGGTGAACAATCGCGTGCTGACAGATGGAAGCAAATGGTAAGTGTGTGACAAATGGAGGGGTGTAGGAAAGGTGGGGATCTCAATCACAGACTTGAATTGAGGTTTGCAGGGGACCTGACTGGAGAAAGCTTCAGAACAAGGGCAGTTATACATCTCCATTGAAGTAATGAGGTCTTTCAGACATCAAAGAGCACAAAGACACTGCTGCAGAGCTGCAGCTTTCCCAGCTCTTCTGCATATGCCTTGTCTGCCCATGTCTTGCCACAACCTGGAGCACACACAGGGGATCAGACACACAGCACTGACACTGTCTGTGGTGCTCTCAGAGGCTGCAGTCCCTTCCCACCACACTGAGATAGGAGAACTCTGCAAGAAGAGAAGGAGATAAGTGTTGTACTAGTCTGTGGGCACTGGCAGGGGTAAGAGATGGTACAGTGAAGTCCCAAGTGAGGACTTGGACTTTACCCATGTTAGCAGATCCTACTGCTTTTCTTTTTATTTTTCCACTGTGTTCTTATTCAGGAACCTCCCTTCTAGATTACAATGCTGCCTGTTAACCTCTCTCCATTGTGTAATGGCAGCCTTTGGTAACTCCATAAAACATCTTCCCAATGAGCTACTTGTGTTTCTTGCTTCAAGTTTTCCTTGTTCAGTCCCTCCTGTCTCATTGGGTTGATGGTACCACTCTGAGGAGTGGAAGGCAAGTAGGGGAGGCACTTGGAAGAAACCATAGTCCACTAGGTAAAAGCAGCAAATACTTTCCTTGTGTTGCTCTGTTCATTTAGGCAAGAATGGGGGTGAAATGAGGGAGCCACAGCAGTCTCACGGATATAAAGTGGCAGAGGCCCTGCCAATTGGATTCTGAAACAAGTGGTGGGCCTGCAGACCTCTCTAAGGACCCAGCCCTTCCCTCCTTCCTTCCTCTGCTGAAGAAGAGGCAGCAAGTTGCCTTTCTTGGCCTTCCAGGGTGGCCAAGACTGTGGAGTATGACAGTCACAAAACGAAGTGATACTGAGATGGGCTTATGGTACAGCCAATCTTGGCATGGATGAGCAGGTTTCAGATGGCAGGATAACAACAGGCCTTCCTCAAAGGAATGGGGATTTGGAGAAGAGCAGTGGAAGGATGAGTGGGAGTACAAGGTGGGGTTAGACAGTGGGCTGTATCTCAGTGACCAGGAAGTGCACCCCCAGAAGTAGTGGTAACAGCAAGAGTTATTATATAGAGGAAACTTGGAGAGCTGGGACCAGAGGGATCAAGAAAAGGTGTTTCCTCAAGGTGATGTATGATGCAGAAAGAAAGGCTGGAGTGGGGGGGAAGAGAGCTTCTGTCCTGCCACTGGCAGCAGGTGAGAGAGGCTGGCAGGGTGCCTGGGGCTTCTTGCTGAGCTGGAGCAGTGCTTCCTGGGCAGGATATGTTTGGCAGGAAAGGAGGGGCAGCAGCTGCACCACTGCTCCCACTGCAGGGCTGAGGTGCTGCAGCCACTGAATGTCTGTGGCACCTCCAGAATGAGATGAGGCTTGCTGATCTCCTCTGGCACCTGGGGAGCACATCCCTGAGCTCACACAGGGCTACAGGGGCTTTCTGCTGGCTGCTAAATTTATTTGCTTTCATTATTTGAGTAAACCTGGGAAATTTTTTTAACACCACAAATGTTCCCCACGTGGTAGAGGCCTCACTGGCTTCTCTCTGCTGAGTGACTGTCTGGGTGTTTGCTGCTGGTGGTGGAGGCAGCACAGGCACCCAAGAACCTGGATACCTGCAACCCCCCATATCAGTACAGGCTGGAGATAAATGGATCAAGAATAGCTTTGCTGAGAAGGACTTGTGGGTGCTGGTGGACAAAAAGCTGGATATAAGCCATCCATGTGCACTGGTAGCCCAGAAACCACCTGTGCCCTGGGCTGCATCCCCAGCAGTGTGGACAGCAGGTTGAGGAAGGGGATTCTCCCCCTCTGCTCTTGTGAGACCCCCCACCTGAAGTTCTGCCTGCAGCCCTGGGACCCCCAACATGAAAAGGAGCTGCTGTACTGAGTCCAGAGAAGGCCATGGAGGTGCTCCAAGGACTGGAGAGGCTACAGACAGGTTGAGAGAGCTGGAGTTGTTCAGCTTGGAGAAGAGAAGGCTCTAGAGAGACCTTATTGCAGCCTTTCAGTATTTAAAGGAAGCTAGTAAGATATGGACAGACTTTTTAGCAGAATCTGTTGTAATAGGACAAGGGGTGATGGTTTTAAATTAAAAGAGGGTAGGTCAGACTATGTGGCATGGCACCGAAGTGCATCAGCACAGCCTTTCCCTGCAGTCACTGCTGTACATTGTTCTCTTTTGTGCCACATGGGAGGCGGGTTTTTTTTCTGGTATGTCTTCCTGGAGTCCCTTAGCTAGATATTTTGTGTTTATTTAACCATGGGTAGGCCAAATCAATGACTTCTCACCAGCCTTGCTCATACAGATCCACAATGATCTTCAGACTCTTTTTGACTAATTCACTGCACAGATGTTTAACCCTCAGCAATGTCACTTCCCATAGTAGTAAGCCATTTCTAGTTGCAGGAAACTAATGAATGAAAAAATGGGTTAGCACTTAACCCAAGAGCCTTTCCTGTTGCATGGATAGCCTAAGGCTGCAGTCACTGCTGCTTTCTCTGTGCACATGCTGGCAAGGAACAAGGATTTCACTGACCTCACCTGTGGCCAGTTGGCAGGGCTGTTGATCATCCCTCCCTCAGCCCATGGAGTAGATACACAACACAGGAGAGCTGAAATTACTTGCCTAAATAAAGCACTTTTAGACATTTAATGAAAGCAAGATCAATTCCACCTCAACCTTCATTGTATTAGTAGATGTCTGAGCTGAGCTTTTAATTGATTGGGGGGTTTTGTTTGTGTTTTTCTTTTTTTCTTTTTCCCCCTCTCCCCCAGGACATCCAGTCCGAACCAACATGAGGAACAAATGGTGGCTCCAGAATATTTCCTTCTTCCTTTTATTCCAATACAGTAAGTTCTCTGATATTTTTTTTCCAGGCTGTACACCCACAGGATTTATCTTGACAGTTGTTGCCAGCTCTGATGAGATGTGCATGAGCCAAGGTTGCCATGGGACAGCAAGCACAAGATACGGTAGCAGGGGAGAGGGTTCTATGGGATAAGGAGTGGAACACAGGCACAGGAAGGTGCACAGCTGGGCAGAGCTCAGCCAGGCTGCAGACTGCTGTGGGGAGCAGCACCAGCAGGGAGAGTGCAGAGTTAGTGCTTGGCCTGACCTGAAATGTCTCCCAGTGACGTTAGAGTAGGATTTCCCCCACCCAAAAACCCCATTGCTGTAGCAAAGATTCTGGTGGCCAAGACCACGGCTTATGGTTGCTGTTGGCAGGCCTGCCAGGGACAGTGGAGTGAACCTCTCCTGATCTGAGCCCCTTGGCTCAGGACTGGACTGTGCAGAAAGTCACCCACCCTTTTTGCTGGTTCCTACCCACACTGCAAACTCCATATGACTCAGAGCTGACTCTCTGAACAGGTCAGCTGGACAGGACAAGGCAGTGACAACTGTGTCTGCAGAGAAACTCACTATCTTAAGTGCTGCTTCTAGGCAGAGCATTGGACCTGCTCCAATTAAACCTAAATTAACAGAAAAGATGCATTCAGAGTTATATATTCCTGCCATATGGGACCTTTGTGATGTTTGGCCTGAATTTTGTGTGATGCAAGCCAGGGAATTACTGTGTACTAATTTCAGTTTGAATCAATCTAGATCTTACTGTTAGAAGTGTTTGAATTTTGTTTCTGAAGCTGTCAAGGACAGACACTTCATCCTAGATCTAACTGGGTTTAGGACACTTAATTATTTCTTTCCCAGTAAAAAGTTATCCTCTTAATTTTGTTAACAGGTTCTTGCCCAAAGATACACTTGCAGCTTACCAGCTACCTAGGAATAGTAGTCCGTTTGACTAATTAACATAATAGCTTAGCAGAATGCTAATTACTAATGCTTAACAGTTTATTAGTACTTGCTGTCCTTGCTAAAGGAAAGCAAGAGATTTCTAACCCCATTTTTGTAGGAGAGTAAAGTTAGGCTAAAGGAGAAAAAGTATGTTACTCAGGACTCTGGACCAAACAGTGCCTGGACCAGGACCCTCAGAAGAGTCTATTGAGGGTTCAAAATGAAAAGAGAAATATTAATTAAAATTTTAGAACAAAATTCTGATGAAAAAGTCAAAATGAAAAAAAGTGACAGCCATATCACTTGAATAATTTACAGTTTTAAAAAGCATATGTACATCCTTGGGGCCAGTCTGTTGCAAATATCCTCAAATTTCTTCTGTCCCTCTCCCAGCTCTTTGGAGAAATGGGGGTCTTGCATACAAATCTGAGTGCTGCCCAGAGTTCACATATGGAGAGCAGGAGGACTGGGAAGTAAATGTTGTGATGGGTGACATCAGCAAGGAAAAGTTGGACTTTGTTTTCCTTTGAACTTACCCTGTCCTAGGAGGAGGCTGCTCCCTCCACCGGACACCCCTACAGTGCATTGGGACTGTAAAGGCAGAGACAGCTTGTTTGTGGGGACAGTCAATTGATCTGGAGGGCAGAACAGATGTTTTTGGTCCATCAGTGCACGTGCTGCCTGCATTCCACGTTGGTGGTGATTCTCTGCATACAGCTTCAGCTGTAAAATTTGGCATTGTGGTTGTTGAACATATTGTATCAGTCTGCTTTCATCATCTGCAAACAACACTGAACACAAAGCATGTTGCAAAGGGAAAGGAGGAAGCAGGGAGTGCATCTTCTCTAACCAGACAAGCAGCAGAATGACAATGGGAGGAGAGCTTGCAGCATGGCCAGTGTCAAAGGATTTGGGTGCCTGATGGCTGTGAAGTGATATGTTCTCATGAGGCTGGGGGCAGCCCTGATGGTAGGGGAGGACCTGTGCTTGATTTAATCATGGATGTTACAACCTTGAGCCTCTTTCTAGATGACACCAATTTTATTCCCATCAGAAAGGGGTGATACTGTACATGTCAGAGATGAATGGTCACTGCAGGAGGCATGGTTTGCACCAGCATGGCATGCTGCATCTCCTGCAGGCCTTTCCTCACTCAGCCATTCCTAGGGTAGTGGTGATAGTTTTAGTCAGTCCAGGGTGCTGTCAGGAAAGGACTCATCAATGCAGACATTTCTCACTGTGCTGCATCTTCCCTGTCTTGAAATCCAGGGAGATAACTGAAGTGTGTTATGCACAGGACAATGGTGCTTGTGTACAGCACATGTCAGATACTGATCTGTGAGCAGAGCTCCTGCAGAACAGTTATAAGAGCATAGATGTTGCTTTGTGACCACTTTCAAATGACTTAATTTTCTTAATGACCAGTGTAAATTCTACAATTGCCTCTGAAGTTTTCTTTACAAGTAATTAAATTGTGCCTATCAGAATGATTAACAGAAATTTTAATAATTATAAATTTGCAATTTTTTTTCCAAAATTTCATGAAAAACATCAAACCTCTGGAGCTGGACATGAAATGTATTGATGCTGCAGATGTCAAGCTGTAGAAAATAGAGAGAGGCAAAGAAAGAATTGCACATTTAAAAAAAAAGTGGTATTTTAGTGAAGTGCCATGTATATGTCATACAATGAAAACTAGACTTGCAAAGAATAGTACTCAATTTAGGAAGTGGTGTCATAAAAATGTTTGAATATAGTACTGCTTCTTACTGGGTTATCATGCCTATTCTATGTGCCATATAAGTGAAGACTCTTGCCAAAATATGTGACTCTGCTGTAGTGACTGTATGAGAAGGGACAGGGATAAGTCTGAAAATTCAGTCACAATTTGGGCACTTTCTGATTTTGGCTGCCACAGTATTTTTAATAGATTTTTGTTTGTCACTTATCTTGCTGTCAAAGACTTGTCATCCTGTAGAGCTGGAACACATCTTAACTCCAAGACTGGAGATTTTTGTAAAGGCAGGAGGAGGGCTGTCACAGAGTGATCTGTTCCCTTCAGATTTAGTGAGAACCCTGAGGACTGCATATGTTGGTATAAAGTTCTGCTTGCTTTGTCATGGAAGTTGATATTGTGTTTTTTCTTACCAAATCTACAGCTGTGTGTTGTGAAAACCTCACTTGTTTTGTGGACTACATACAGACCCTGTCCTGTATCCTGAAAAATGACTTGGGTGCTGGTTCATACAACCTCACTGCAACATGGTATGTCTTGGTAGGATGAGCAAAGTCTAGTTAGCAGGAACCTCTGCATGGCCATAGCACAGCGCTGACCTTCTGTCCTCTTTGTTGAGTAGAAATCCTGTTCTTGCTGATATGCTGGTTTTTTACTTGGCATTTCACACTTCAGCTACCGACTTCCCCCATAGCAAAGGACCCCTGGTTCCTGTCTCCACTGACTGCTATGCTGACTCCAGCTTCCTTAGCATTGCCTGCTCTCTTCCCATGGGAATACCTTGCCCTTTGCTGCTGTTAACAGAGAACTTTCACCCATGTGCATTGGCAGGGCTCATGCAGATTGTTCAACCCCATATGGCTGCTGTTCTGCCCCAGCAAGGGCGTGGATGCAGTCCTGGGTTGTGCAGCCCTGAGGAGCACCTTTCCTTTTGACAAACGCTTTTCTACTTCTCTCAAAGATGCTAAGCTGAGCAAATAGAAAGGGGAAAACATCTGTCAAAGTTCAAAGATAAATTTTTATTTTAACATGTTGGTATTTTTTTTAACCAAGTTCTATGCCTGGTGGTTCAGCAACAAATTAATACAACCACAGCATGTGGTAGATGTGGACTTATTTGTTTTGGGTTTTTTAGGATTCCTGAGGAAGATCCTGAAAATATTGTGGCTGCGTGCAGTCTCCTGCAATTGTCCAGGAACACCAGTCACACAGAGTACATGTGCACTGTGGACATGACTGAACTCCTAGGAGATACCAAAGTCCAAGTGGATGTTACAGAGGTAGCTGATAGGCAGCAAGTGATTTCCAAAGACTTTTATTTGTCAGACAACAGTAAGTACAAAAATGGTGGATTTGATAAATACTGTCTGACTATGTCTACGTGCCAGGATAGTCTGGGCAAGGAGTGAGCATGGCAGCAAGTGGTGGGGGCTACATTTGGTATACACTCATCTACACAGAGCAGTGTGTTCTTATTGTCACTATTATGCTTAAGGCTGAGCTTAGAGCTGGCTTAGTCCATGCTTTTCGTGGGGAAATTCCTTTTCACCATGAAGCAATAGGTGACAAATTTCCACCTTAGACCAGTCTCATACCTAGATTATTATGCAGGAATTTGTTCTTGGCTGGATTCTAAAGGGCAGGAGGAATTGCTTTATTGCAAATGTCACAAATCATAGAATCCTTAAAATGGTTTGGGCTGGAAGGGACCTTAAAGATCATCAAGTTCCAACCCTGTGCCACGGGCAGGGACACCTTCCATTAGACCAGGTTGCTCCAAGCCCTGTCCAACCCAGCCTTGAACACTTCCAGGGATGGGGCAGCCACAGCTTCTCTGGGCAATCTGTGCCTCACCACCCTCACAGCCAAGAATTTCTCCCCAATATACAATCTTACCCTGCCCTCTGTCAGTGTGAAGCCACTTCCTTTTGTCCTATCAGTACATGCCCTAGTCAAAAGTCCTTTTCCAGCTCTCTTCTTATCTCAAAGGAGTTCCAGAAGGCTTTTGCAGTGGACACCTAAAATGACATTATTTTGGGTGGCACAAGGTGTCCCAGATGCAATGGATGTAGCAGTTCCCCTTTATGAGGCAATTCCTAATCATCTCTCCTGCATGACAGGAAGATTGAATGCAATTATGCAGCTGACTTGGAATGCTGGTATGTTCTGGTTGTGTAGCAAACTGAAGAAAAGGAGGGGTTAGTCAGGCAGATGGGTACCGTGCAGGCATATGAAAAGGATTTTTCTACTTGGATTCTTCTGAAATTAAACTTTATTTGAGAAGTGTTGTCTTTTTGACAAATGCCATAACATTTCAGGAAGTCCCCTTGAGTCCATTACAGACTAGAGATTGGGCAGTAGTGCTTTGCATACCTACTGAAGGTCCCTGTCCAGAGGCATTGTAGCTCAGTAGCAGGCCCTGCTGGAGTTTTTCGTTACTGCTTTTCCATGCGTGAACACACCCTGCAGAGATATAAAAGCTTGGGTTTTGGGCACTTAGGACACAGGGAATTGCACCGGGTTTATGCAGTGTCCCCTTGCCTCAGCTTTTCCTGATGTCTGTTACATTGAGGAATATTTCCCCAATTTTTCAAGTGATCATGACCTCATAGAGTCCTCTTATGTCATGAGAAGAGCAAGGTGCTCTACTCTTTACATCTCCCAGGAGTTATTATCCTCTTGTACTATCTTCTCCTGCTCCCTAAGCAATGAGGAGGTTCAGAGACAAGCAGAAGGTATATTCAGTGAAAACTCAGGCCTGACTTCATTATGCTGCTCAGATGTGAGGTTCTGTGCATGGCTGAGGGGCAGGAATGCTGTGTACATTCTCCTGTATGAGGAAGGCCCACCTGTGCCAGGGCAGTTTTGCTCCCTGCTCACTCTGCATTGCTGATACCACACTGGGCCGTCTTGTCTGTAGTAATGTTATGAAAGGTAACACCATCCTGTCTTCCAGTCAAACCACAGCCTCCATTCAACCTGACCACTTTGTTCTCAGAGGGTTACAATATTTCTTGGGAAACCACCTACCAGAAATCTCCCTTCCACTTTTTGAATGAGGAGCTGGAATATCAGCTGCGTTATAAGAGAAGAACTGATACCTGGGAGGTAAGTGAGATGTCAGTTTACCATCAAGTAGGATGTACCAGAAAAGAGGAGGCCAGCGCAACCAGGATGGCAGCACTGGTGTGGAAGAAGTATTTTCATGGTTTAGAAAAGATATATTTCTGCTTGACTGGACTGAAAACAGGCAAACCCAAAAATGAATCAAGAAGCAGAAGTTGTGTGAGAAGTACTAGTTCCTGTAAGGAAGAGTGATAATTCATTTGATTCTCATGCTGTCCTGTATGGAAGGTTCCCCAGTGGCTGAATGCAGCTGCAGACCAGCCAGAGCATGGCCTTGAAGAAACAACATGAAAGCAGGGGAGGTTACTTTGCAGGGCTTCTCACTGTGCAGCAGTGAGGGGAAGTGAGAACAGTCACTCTAACCCTGAGTGTTTGGTGTTTAATCATTCGCAGACTCAGAAGACTAAAGCTGTTCATGAAGGTAAACGGACACTGGTGATCCTGCCATGGGAACTCCAGGTGAACACTGAGTACGAGTTCCAAGTGAGAGCCAGACCCCGCGAAGACAGCGGCTACCATGGGTTTTGGAGTGAATGGAGTCTTCCAGTGTCACTGAAAACCAGCCCTGCCGGTACATGCTACTAGCTGTCCTTGCCCTTCCAGTTAGTCCAGTGTCAGAATGCCTTCAGAACTCTAATCAAATCTAATTAATCAGAACAAATTCTAAATAGTCTAGACAGGTATGGTTAGCTTTCTTGCTGAGTACAGGAACCACAGGCCTGGGCTGTCAGTATTGATGTTCTCCCATGGAAAAGGATTTGGTGGGGTTGGCTGTAGGTTTGGGTGCCACAGCAGGAGTGTAGCCTCTAGCTTCCTCTTCAGTGTCAAATGCCCAGGGTCCTGCTTGCAGCTTTCAGAAATGGGGGAGATCTCCTCTGCTGGAGCTTAGTGTTGTCTTCAGCTGAGGGGAGAGGGATCCTGCTCTCAAGTCTGAGTTCTGGGACTGGACTGTAATGGTTGGTCATGCTGGGCATGGGTATTTTGTTTGGTAGCCACCACTCCGCAGGGATTTCGCAGTATCTTATGCACAGAAGTGCACTGATGTTTCTTGTGGTGGAACAAAGGCTATGAAAACAGGGAGCCTTTGTTCCAATAGAGCAGGGCAAGATAACTGCAGTCAATGTCAGCAGAATGCGCTGAGCTTCTCTGCTCTCATTCATCTGCAGCTCGAGCTGAAATATTAACAGGGTTTACACGGTGCTGTGGCAGCAGGGCCAAGCTCCATTTGCAAAGGGATATCTGAGGTCTGGATCTTAAAGGTGCACCTTTTCACCACAGGTGGAGAGCAGCCACCAAGCAGTCATTTAGTCAACACCATTTCTTCACATGTCTCTGACCAACTGCTCTCTCTCTTCACTTCATGGATCATTTATGAGGTGTCCCTAAACCAGCAGTCAGAAACACCAGGGGTCTTTGTGGCAGGGAGCTGTCCTGCCCCAAATTTGCTGGCTGTCTGTGTGTGATGCAGCCAGGCCATGGGGCAGCTGATGCACTGCTCCTTTCATTGATGCAGTCTTCTCTGAGCATTCTCATTCAGACCTCATGTCTGGAGTGCTGGGGCCCAGGTGACAGCCTCAACGTCCCTATGAGAGAGTCTGGGGTAGAAATTAAGGGTGTCTCAGAATCATTTATGTTGGAAAAGACCTCCAAGATCATCAGGTCCAACCTGTGACTGATCATCACCTTGTCAACCAGAGCAGAGCACTGAGTGCCACATCCAGTCATTCCTTGAACACCTCCAGGGATGGTGACTCCCCTGGGTAGCCCCTTCCAATGCCTGACAAGCCTTTCCATTGCAAAAACCCTTTTTCTTCTCACCATCTCCTGCTTATTGACCAGAGGATAAATGCAAGGTGAGCCTGAATGACCCTTCTCTTTGTTCAGCAGTAACACAAACAGCAGGTATGGGATGGCTGCTGCTGTTTGGTGTTGTTGTGTCAATCATGGCTTCAATCGCAACCTTTCTGGCCAAACAGCAGAGGTAAGAATGCTTCAGGAAGCGTGAGTAAATGCTCTTATTCTATCTTGATAAAGATGGGGTGTTCACAGGCAACCTTTTTTGTATGGGCAGCATGGGCTGCTATGAGCTTGTGAGGACCAGCCAAGTATGGTCTCTAGCTGATATCCTGCTGGGAGCGAGCTGCTTTTCTCTGGGGCTCTGCTGCCATTCAGCTGGTTGGGACAAGACTGGCACATGGGGATGAAGCAAGGGCCACCCAGCCTCCTGAGCTGTTCTCCTGGTCTTGTCTGTGCTCTGCAGCTGCCAGATGGAGCAGTAGCCAGGGCTGGCCTGCCCCTTTTCAAAGCTAACATAGGCCCCTCAATGCTGGCTGGGGGGCCTCTCTCCCTTTTGGAGTGCTGACACAGAGGAGGGCTGGGCTCATGCAGCAACAGGGCTGGCACAGCCCAAGTCCACAAAAGAATTGCATAGGGCAGAGTTCTGATGTGCAGACCACAAGCCAGCCCAGCCTGAGGGGAAAATGCACTTGGAGCACTTGGTGCTTTTCCAGGAAGGAAAAAATTGGAATCTCTTTCTTTAGCACGAATATATGTGTGTGAAAGTGCTGAGGTCCCACCTCCTGTGAGGTTCACAAGAAAGGCCATTAGATGGCTCTGGCAGCACAAGGCATCCTTGGATCCTCAGCCACTTTCTAACTCATGAGGCTGGGCAGGTGATTTCAGTTGCTTGAAATGGATCTAGAGATGCCTTGCTTTGCATCAGTGACATATGCTTAACCCCAAAGCCTTTTTTTTTTCTCTTCCAGCTTTTGGAAGAAGATGGCTTGCATACCAGACCCTGCTCCCTTTTTCAAACCTCTTTACCTGGCGCATAATGGAGATTTCAAGGTATAATTGGGCTACACAAGAACATGTGGAGCCTTGTCCAGACCCCCTTCCCAGGAAACTGAGGCAGGGGAAGTGAGACAGCGGGACTATGTGTGTGTTGGTTGCAAGTGCAGTACACGGGGAGAAGCTGACCATCCTTCCCAAGAGAAGCAGTGTCCAGGACAAGAGGGTAGGGGCAACTTACTGGCTTGGCCTTGGACTTCAGGCTGATTGATGAAAGAATGCTGCTATGGGCAGTGGCATCCTTTGCAGCATAGAGAAAATTGCAAAGCCATGCAAACCTCTCAGAGCTAATTATTTTCAATTACTTCAGTCAGTTCACCTGCAGCTGTGTCTGGTAATAACAGCATCTCATACCCTGTTCTATTGGAAGTCAGTGGTTTTAGAGTTTGCCTTTGCCTCTAAAAGCATAAGAACTTTGGTCATTTCTGTGGAACCTCAAAACTTGTGATACTAACCTCTCTCTCGCTGTATGTCCTTTTCTGCAGAAGTGGGTTGGTGCATCCCATACAAAAATGACCTTTGATTTCTTTGAATGGGGAATAGTCCTTCCAGAAGTCCTAGAAGTTTACACCATGCGTCCTTCTAACAGCACCTCACAGGAAGAGCTGCATGAGCTGAGAAAGAATCTGCCTTGCAAGACCTGTGTGTCTTGCCTGACTGCCCCAGGCCACAATAGCCAGTCCCTGTGGTCCAGTGTAAACAGCAGCAGTGGGACTGAGGAGCAGGAGCAGTCATACGGGCACTTGTCCATTGATACGGTGACTGTGGCTGATGAATTTACATCCTGTAACTGCCAGTGCAGCTGTAACCACGTGTACAGGGGACATGAGCATACCAATGAGGAAGATGATAGTGCTGGAGGACCTGGCTACCCCAAGGTTAACATTGATGAGGAAGACAGAAAGATATCCCATGACTTGCATCTGGCTGACCTGAGCACGCAGGACAAAATACTTGCGTCAGGTTCCGTGTCCACAGACCACTTGAGGAGCACAAGTGTCCCAATCCACCAGCAAGTAGAAAGGTCTTTAGAAGGAGGAGTGGGGAGCATCCTAGAAGCCCTTTGCTTGCAGCCTCTTCGGTGGGATTTGGAAAATCCAGGTTCTCTACCTTCTCCTGACGGTGACAGTGTTTCCTACAGTGAAGGCTCCTACGACTTCTTCCCTCACAGTACCAGGCCCGGTGACAGTTACCCTACGATCTGCGTTGATTTGGACACTATTGACAGTGGCTTTGCGGACTCAGACTGTGGAAGTCCACTTGATTGTGAATTTGGGCAAAACAGTCAGACCAACTGTGGGCCCATCTCTCTTGAGCAGGAGGGGCAGGACTTTCCACGGAGCTACGTCAAGCAGTGGGTCTCCTGTCGCTCTGACAGCCCTGTCAGTGGGACACAGGCAAACTGAGGACTTGATGTTGTTTGGCAGAGTGTGGGGCCTTTCTTTACTGTGCCAAGAGCAAAGTGTTAGCAAAATTCAGAAGAGAAACAAAGTTTGCTTTGTGTAAGCTTCTTGCACACAACTGAAAACTGTTAGGTCCACAGTAATACATGCCTATTTCTATTGCCACTTATCCTATTAATGTCTAAAATTTGTTATGATTGTTTCTGGGTTTGGTTGGTTGGTTGTTGTCTTTTTTTTTAGAATCCTAAGTACCTTGACAATTATTCTTTGGGTTATATAGATGTGCATTTTTTTTACAGTAACCTTTGAAGAGTACAGAACATTAAATTATTTTCCCTGGTGTTTTCACATGACTTGGGAGTTTGGCTGTACATGGACTCCTAGAAGCATAACCCATGGCAAGCATGTTTGCTACATTAAGGCTCCCCTACCCTTTCCAAACAACATGTGGTATTACTTTTCCTACTAATGTCTTTTGGCTCTTTAAACTCAGCTGTAGTAGTTTACTAGTTATGGAGGTCCCAGTCCTGTCCATGGGGTATGATCAAAACCAATTCTTATTTAATCACCATAGAAATGTATGTCCAAGAGAACAAGCACAGCTCAGGTTTCAGAAAGACTTTGCCTTTCCAGGTGGAGTCTGTAAATGAAAAGTCTTCAGAATATATAATTCCAGACAAACTCTTTCTACTAGGCTACAGAGTCAGCTTATCTCCCAGCACTTTTCAAGCACATTAATTGAGCAGCTTTTAGAGCTATGCCAAAATTTCAGAAATGTTGTCCTACTTGGATGTGCCTGCAACTTCTGCCTTGGACTTGCTCTACTGCTGCTAACAGGTCAGTAGCACAGATTTTGAGCAATTTCTGCTAGCTAATAAAGCTAACTATGAAACTGCAATTTGCACTGTAACTGTCAATCTGTTTCCCTGACATCACTATCTCTCATTTGTTTAGGCTAATTGTCTTTAAAAGTTACTGCAATACTGAAAGTGAATGTGAAGACCTACATCTTATGTTGGCATAGTGCTGCCTGGCTGTAGGAGGTCCTATCCTGAGAGAATCTTTGTGGTGAATGATGTTTGTTTCCAGTGCAGTAATAATCTGTTGTTGCTGTGATACCAATAAACTCCCTTCCCTCTTCTCCATCTCTTAACTGAGACTATAGGCATCTCCACAGCTCCCTAAACAGAAGGGAGTACTGTAATGAAGAGAAGCTCTTTCTTTCACAGGTGAGTGCTGGGACTGTACTGCTATGCATCCACCTCCCTGGTTTGATTGTTCAGAACAGCCATGGTATCTGCTATGCTGATTTTGGACCTATATGACTTAGTTTTGCCCATGTTGTTATTATTCCCTCAATATACCCCTAGCTCGGTGGCTTCCTGGGCACTGCTCTAAGATATTAAGTTTTTTGGTTCCTTCCCTCCTTATTTTCCATTTTTCTTGTCATCAGCTGTGATAAGTTGTGGGAGGTCTTCACGTGCTGATACATCCTCCCTGCTGCACAACCAGTCCCTTGCGTGTCCTCTATGAACTGCAGAGGATCACCCCAACTCCACTGCCCGGATGAGCTGAGCCTGCCCCACATTGTCCTACAAGGGCTTTTGCATCATGCTCACATCAACGCGAATGTGTACTAGGCAGAAGTGTTTCTGATGGCTTCAACACAGTCTTTTACAGCTTCATCTTACAGCTATTTTCACTTCAGAAACTACATTGTGGTAACTGACCCTGGCTGCTTAAGGGAAGAGGGGAAACTCATCTGTCTTTCTATGGCCCTTTACATCTCAGTTCTGCCTGCTCTTTGTTTGTATCATTGGCCTCAGAACTGCTAAAGGAGCTGTTTCTATTACTGCAACGCTATCAGGCTGTACATTTGGTAGAAGGTGATGGTTTGGTGCTATGTTGGGCTAGAAGTTACTTCTGGTCACCCTAGGAGGCAGATTTTGCAGGCAGGTACCTGGCATAAGAGTATTAAAATAAGGGAGGCCATTCCCTTTGAAGCAAGCTGTAACAATTGCTCTTTGGCCAATGAATTGTTGTCACTGTGAATGTGAAGGGGTTTGAAGTGGGGGTTTTTCAGTGTCTCCTAGAAGCAAACTGCAAATGTCCCTTACCTAGCAGTATCTAATCTGGAAAAATTATGTTTTCCCAGGAATGTTAGGGCCAAAAAGTAGGTACTAGGAGAAGCATCATAATTCATTCTGTTGTACCAATTTGGAAATGTCCATCTCCATTTCTGCATGGCCTCTGCTTCCTTGTCTCTTGGCCCCAGAAGCTGATACTGACAGACTGTTATTCAGTCTATTCTTTGACTGCTTCTCTCTCCCCCTTCTCGGCACTAGACCCATGTACAGGACTGACTTGATGCATCCTGACTGTAACATTGCCATTGCAGCTGGGCATGGGAAGATCTGTTCCTCATATGCTCTGGGATCAGGACACAGAAGCACTGCAATGCTTTTTTGCCTTTGCTTCCAGAACTGTGCTTTGAGCACAGTGCAGCAGTTGGCTGTGGGGGAAGCGCAGGACAGGGCAGCTCAGGGTGCTCTGGGAGTCTGAGCATAGTTGGGTAGAGGACTTGGGTGGAAGCAATTTTGCCTCACATCCAGACAGGGCTAGAAAATGACTTTAGGTCACTTAGAAAGCTCTTCTGTTGGCCCTTTTTTGTATAAAAGTTGCAAGCATATACTTTTATATTCAGCAAATTGCTTGGCCTTTTAAATGTTAACCCTTTAGCAGAAATTCCTCAGTTTCTCCGTGACTAATGAGTAATTTCAGATACAGTTACTTTAACTCAATCTGATAATCTGAGTAGTTCTTCATTGGTTCTTGAGATTATCTTTAAAATCAGGCACAGTATGCTCTGCTTTATTACGCCACTGCTGCTATTGCATGATCATCAAACCACGAAGCCCAAACTATCAAGGGACAGAAGCAGTGCGAAAAGTGACATTTTCTTTGAGCTGGTAAGACAGTTTAACACATTTCTGTTCCATGTATGCCAGTATCTAATGTTAGGATACATCTACTGAGCTAAGATGTTGAAAAATATTTTCTATACCTAAATGTGGAATTATATATTGTTTCTTGTACTAGAAACCTAGAACAAAAGAATCATGAGAAGGGTCCCTGTGCTTTTGTTCTGCTAGTTTGCTGAGCACAAAACAACACTATTGCATTAATTCTGATGGATTGTGCTTAAAAGAAGGACCATCCTGAAGAAATTATTTTTTAGGTACTTCTCTCTGACTGCAAGAGATGAATGTAAAGGAATTCAGCCAAAATAGTCCTCAGTGTTTGGGACTTTGCAGGCAAAAATATACTTTTTTAATGTATGTGTGTGTGTGTGTGTATATATGTGTGTGTGTGCGTGTGCGTGTGGATATTGCTTTATTGCAGTAGTCATCCTTTGTAGCAGGTTTTTCTCTCGGATCCAAGTGTATAAAATCTAAAAGTGCAAGGCTGTTTGTGAGCATCAAATTGTGGGAAAATGGCCCTCCAAAGGTGAAGGGAGAAAAAGACTGGTTATATGGGGTTCTCTCTGATAATCTCTATAGTTGAGAAATCCAACCCCTTTTTTCCTCATTCCCCAGCAGCTGGCATGCTGATTGTGTGAGTCTGCTGTGTGCACTTGATGTGCTTCTGTCAGGCATGTGCTCAGAGGCCTAGGTATTAAGAAGGTAGATAAGCTATGGCTAATTTTTCTTAAAGGACCTGCAAATTCTTTCTTTATAGGCAGAGATGATTGTTCATAATTTGCCTGGGCTACCTCATTCTTTGGGTCTCCTTGTAAAGCTCTGCTTTACTGAGTTGCTAAAACCCAGATGATATCTAGGCTATCCACATGATGGGACTGTGTTGTCACCTTCTTGTTCTACTTCTCAGTGTTATCTATCAAATAATTTATTTCACCTTATAAATTCTTAAAAGAAAATCTTTTTATTGTGTGTTCAGCTGGACCTCAAATGTGGAGGTGAATCTGTGAATATGAATTCCTAGTAATAGATCTACCAATAACAGTCAATCATGTGCCTTTCTGTTGGTAAGCAGCTGAGAGCATTTGAAAAATCTGTGCTGTACAAACTCTGCTTCAAAATTACTTAAAATTACTTTTGGGAAATGGAGGCTGCTGGTGGAACTACAGGAGGGAAGGGGAAAGGCATGGCTGCAAGGCCTCTTTTCCTTGAGTAGGTAACAGGCAGAACAACTCAGCCCTGGAAACATGCAGAAAGGATGGAAACACCATTGCAACAGCTTGAGACTACCTAGGAACTCAAGGTCACTACTCAGCTCCTGCTGCTGAGCTAATACCCAGACTGGTGGAAGCATGTCTGGTGTATTGTTTCAGGGTGTCATCTCAGGCATTTGGTCTCTTTCTTTCCCGCAGAGTAAAGGTGGTTCCTCCAGTTTTCACAGGGCTTTTCTGCCTTCACCCACAACTGCCCAGTGCTGCAGAAACTGGGCATTAGAACACAAAAACACAGCAGGCAACCTGGCTAAAAAGTTGATTTGTCTTCCCGTGCTGGCAGCTGCTGTAATAGCACCTGGGCTGCTGGCACTGGGCTTCCATCTGAGCTAAGGGGATTTTGTATTGTTTTTCAATATACCTAAGAAAAATTTATAGACTACAAGTCTTGCATCATATGTTTAGGCAAGAGGTCCCAGCAATAAAGGTAGTTCCCCTTTGTACAAATTCTACACTTTGTTTCTGTCTAATTGTATCTACCTTCAGTGTCCAACAAGTGCATTCTTTCCATCTGTCTCTAGGAGATTTAAAAAAAAAAAAAAGATTTTTCTCCTATGTGAAATCACCTTCCCATGTAAGATACTTATGGCTGGTGTGAAATTACTACTTAGTGTTTCCTTTGGTTAAGTTAAGAGATTTAGTTGGTCTTTAATTGTTGATTTCTGAGAAAAGTTATCCAAGATTATATCATTCTTATAGCCCTTTTCAGAACCATTTTCGTATTGACAGCAACTCTTTGTCTAAAGTATGGATCCCAACAGAAGAAATTATTCAATGTTACATGTAGCTACAATAACATTTCTTTGAACTCATATGCATCCACAGTCTGCGTGTTAGCTCCTCTAATTGCATTAATGTACTGCAGAATCTTGTTCATCTGGTTATGTGCTATTTCCTGAAATAATTTTCTGATAAGCCTTTCAGAATTCAGTGTTACATGACCTACTTAGGACTAACATTCATGGCTTCTAATGCAAAAATTTGCATTTAAACATGCTGTATTTGTTTCCAGGTGGGCTAGAAAGCCAGAAATGTCTGACACATTTCAAACACTGAAGAACTGAATGAAGAACTTCTTGCGTGGGGTGGGGGGAGTTTATAAAATTAATAGCAATTACCTGGAAACATTCTGTCCTGGTTTACTTATCTTGACCTATGTTTGTTTATTTGTTTGTGTGCCTGAACAGTTCTTGTAAGCATATGTATAATTCTACTTAATGCAGCTCTGTCTATATCATATTTAGTCACTATTACTGTATTTATCTCAGGGATCACACGCAACCCTGATCAGAACGATAAGCAGGAGAGGCTTCGTGCCTCTCAGCCTCCTGCAGCTAAAATCAGCTACTGGTGACACTTCCTCTTGACAACCCCCACTCTGAAGAAGGTCTGCAGCAAAACAGAGTGCTTACCAAAAACCCATAAATGAAGAGGTGGGGAAGTGGTAGCCAGAAACATTCCTTTTCTCTTGATAAGTTTCTGAAACATTGTAATTTTTTTACTATTTGATTAAGAAAAGGGACACCATAAGCAGGCATGATCACAGGCAAGAAGTTTTATGTGGATGCTGCTGTATAGCTTTGTGAAATTCATGACTGGAAGGATACTCTTGGTCATGGAGTCCAGTTCCTGCTGTTGTAGCCATCAGATCACTTAATCCCTTCAGTAAAACAATCCTAATGATTTAAATATCACAATCCTTGCTAAGCATAGGCTTTTTCTCGCTCACTTTTATTCTAGATTACTTCAGATCCTTTGTTGGTTTGAAATCACGATCTTATTCTATAGCCAGGCTGTATCTGTTTGGTCCTGTGCTAATGCTGTACTTAGTGTTTCTCCTATCCTGACACTCTCTCCCTTTTCCCCAGCTTCTCCTGAAAGAGAGATCATAATCTCTGGCAAATTTTGGTTGATAGTTGTTGGTTTGGTTTGGGGTTTTTTTGTTTGTTTGTTTGGTTGGGTTTTTTTAATAATAACTAACCCAAGCTCTTCTAAGACAGAAAATTCTCAGACCCTTACATTAGCCCAGCCCTAGAGCTCAGTTCAGTGTACGTGCTAGCCAAGCAGTGCAAACAGTGTTTCTCCAAAATTCTTTTAATTTTTCAAGAAACTGTTTTTGTTTATTAGTGGTCTCTGTCTACAAACTCACTCCATGTTTTCTGGGTTTCAGGCTCCTTGGAGCATCACACTCCTCGCAGCAGTGCTGGGCTCATTTGCTGTGTTCAGGTAACAGCAAGTAATGCAAACTGAAAACATCTTTTAAAAACACCACGTATTGCTGAGTAGATCGGGTCCATATTCTTCGTATTAAACTTTGCCATAAGAATACCAAATCAGAAGCTTTCAGTGAAAAAGTATAATTTTAAATTAAAACTTCATCAGGAGAGAATTCACAGAATAGAATTCCTGATTTAAAAAAAAAAAAGTGAGTCCAGTATAACACTGTACAGAGGTAGTGTTCCATATTGCAGAAGATACACTTCAAACATCCCTACACAACCCTGCCGTGAACTGGGGTAATGACTAGGTCCTAAGTATTCTACATCTCTCAATGAATGCTTTGACCAGGAGCATATCAGTTATTCTCTGTTTCTCTTTTCTGAATATGCAGAAATTATGTCTGTTCCAGGAGGCCCCTGAGCTGCAAATGTCTGGAGGCTGAGAATGTTTTCAGAGAAGAATATCTATGCTCTATTGCTATGATTTTGTCTAAGCATCTGGTTTTGGTTGCTTTCAGAAATGGGATACAGGGAAACATGAACATTTTTTCCAACTGTGGCTCTCTGCTGCTCTTAAATTGTCATAAACCAGATGCCAAAAAAGCAGGAAGAAGGAAAGATGAAACACCCACCCTTTCACCCACCCTTGATCAAATTGCAGGAATTAAAGATTTCCTTTAATGCAGCTGGTGCTTTAGATTCCTGTACAAAGTACTATTTACTGTCATGAGAAGACCAGTTCCTATAGAAGAAATTATATAGCTGAGCTGGTGCCCTCTCTGACAGATTCAAGATAAGCTTGTGTCACACTGGCAGAAGCAAGTAGGTAAAGCTTCAACCTGCTGGTACAAATACTGACAAAACTGCTCCTAAAAATTGTTCTGTTTCAGATATTATCTGGAATGGGAAGAGTTGTGTGGCAGCTGGGCCTCCAGCTGTGTATTACTGCTGTGCTGCTCTTTGGTGGAGGAAGAGGGAGAGGTAAGAGGAGATCTGGAATAGGTTCACCGTAGGAAAACAGGCACATGACTGTGCTCATTTTTCATTCATAGACTCTTAAATATGCAATCCAAGATCCTGCCCTTTCCTAGGTCCCAGGAACCGATACAGCTGGCTGGTAATGCCAAGCCTAGGGAACTGAGCACATACTGGACAAGCTGGGCAGCAGAAAAAGTGTAGCCACTGCCCAAGGTCCCTGCCCTAAGATCTTACACTCATCTCATGCAGTGAAGTGTGGTACAAGAGAGGAAGAACACGATGGGGAAGATTAGATGCAGTGTCAGTAAAGGAAGCACTAGCAAGTAATGCATTTATTTGATGTACTGAGCAAGGCCTCATCCAGTGATACACGAATCCAGCTCTGGTCTCTTTCCTCTGCAGAGCTCTCTGGCAGCCTGAGCTGCCTGAATAACTACATAACTACTGTGAGCTGCACGTGGGCGACGGAGAAGCCCGTGGGCAATGGACCTTTCCACCTGCATTTCACCAAGTAAGAGCCACATACCAAGCGCTGCCTGTGGCAGCCCCAGCCCTGGCATGGAAAAGCAGAGATGGGGTCTAGCTGTGGGCTTTGCTCCCTCCACAGCAGGAGACTTGTGGCACAGCTACCTTTGCCACCCCATCACCCCAAACCTGGGCTACCTTGGAAGCTGCTCCCAATGTGGGCCCACAGCCTCAGCTGGGGCAGCAGAGGTCTAGTGCACACAGCTGCATGTTCTCCTGCCAGCTCTGGCTATCCACCCAGTGAACCCTTCTGGCAGGTGCCTCAGCACAGGGAGCCTTTCCTTCCCGGCCTTCAGTCTCTCTGATCTGGGAACTTCCAGAGCCCATCATCCATGAAGCTCCCTTATCAACTTCTAATAATTTCTTGTCTTTTTGCCTAGAAATTAAACCACTAGTGGTTTAATCTATTAGTTAGTATATATATACAAGTCCAGTGAGTTATAAGCTTTAATAACAGATTTACTCAGTGCTGGTGAGGCCACCCCTGCAGTGCTGTGTCCAGTTTCTGGGCCCCTCAGCTCAGGAAGGACATGGAGGGGCTGGAGCAGGTCCAGAGAAGAGCAACGAGGCTGGGGAAGGGACTTGAGCACAAGTCCTATGAGGAGAGGCTGAGGGAGCTGGGGTTGTTGAGGCTGGAGAAGAGGAGGCTCAGGGGAGACCTCCTCACTCTCTCCAACTCCCTGACAGGAGGGGGGAGCCAGGTGGGGATTGGGCTCTTCTGCCAGGAAGCAGCAGTAGGACAAGAGGGCTGGGTCTTCAGCTGTGCCAGGGGAGGTTTAGGTTGAATATTAAGAAAAAAATTTTTACAGAGAGAGTAATCAGCCATTGGAATGGGCTGCCCAGGGAGGGGGTGGATTCACTGTCCCTGGAGGTTTATCAGATGAGACTGGATGTGGCACTTAGTGCCATGGTCTGGTAACCACAGCAGTGTTAGATCAAGGGTTGGACTTGATGATCTCAGAGGTCTTTTCCAACCTAGTCAATTCTGTGATTTAGAATATTATCTGAATAGTATTTCCTCTAATGGAAACAATAGGGTGAATAGTTTGCTATGTGATAAGATAATTCAAGATGAATGCGTTTAGATTATGCAATAACATTGTCTTGACCACCAGTAACCATTACATGAGGGTAAGCCATGCTGACATTAGATACCTCATATTCTGGTAGAGTTAAGTCAAAAATAGCCTAGCTCTAAATAATACTGGGGTTTAGATCTATGAAGAAATGCCAAGCTGATAAACTGTGATATCCCCGTTTCTTGTGGGATCACATGCAACGTGAAAAATTTGCTAATAAATGGCTACACCACAAAACAACAGACCAACTTCCAACACGTTTTGCTGTCAGTACTGATGTTTGTTCCTAGCAAAAGAGGCCTTAATGTACAACTTGTTGCTTCTGTGCTGTGCACTTGCAACTAACTGTCCACCCACTTCTTCCTCCCTACCCAGCTGCTTTCCTGGCAATGACATGCAGGCCTCTCACTTTCAGAGGGGGCAGATATTGGGCTCTGTATGCAGTTCCTTGGAGGTCTGGGGCTCTCAGCAGCGAGGTTATGAAGGCATCTCCTTCCTCCCTATTCAGCCCTGCCATCCAGCCAGCTTTAGGATTGCTTTCCGTGTTCTCTGCACTAAGAGGTTCATGGTCTTCCAGAGTGTAGTGCTGTGCTAAGCTGCCACATGTTCTTCATAAACTGAAAAAACACTTCATTGTATGCCTTAAAAGAAACTTTCAGCCTTTTTATTCTTCTAGCCTCTGGTCAAAGGGCCACAACGCCAGCTGCAAACTGACTGCCACAGAGAGCATGCAGAATCAGTACCACTGCACAATCCATTTAGCCAGCCAGATCTTGGAAACAGATGGTTATAGAGTCTCTCTCCAAGGAAACTTCTTTGGACGTAATCACAGATACGTTACCTTTCCAGTGTACAATCCCCGCAAGCACAGTAAGTATGAACAAGGGCAGTTGTGAGCTGTGGCTCTGCCCAGCAGCTTTGGGGTAGGTCTGATATGCTCTCTAATAAAGGGTGTCTCAAAGACAGCAAGTGGAAACAATGAAAACAAGCCAGACTGTCCATTCCTGGAGAGTGTGCTGTGTGGACTGTACCAGTGAGGATGCAGTCCCTGAGTCTCTCCATTCTGACCTTTCCAGGACTTTAGAGAGGGCTGGCTCTGGAGCATCTTTCAAGAAGACTTTGCATTTGCATCATGTTTTCTTGTGCCATAGATAATTTACAATTAGATTGCCACAATTGTTTGTTTCGTTGTTTTACTTTTTCCTGAGAAATTATGTAATGAGAAATCAAAGTCATGGATTTAATTGAGTGTCCCGTGGCCTGGTACTTCAGAGAAATGCTCTAGTATCTGAAATACTAGTATCTAGTGTCTATATGTGGTATGTTGTTAGGGCAGAATGTGACATCCAGAGTGGTTCTTTGCTTGCAAGATTATCCCCAGAGACTGCTGGAGTTATCATTAATTTATGTCAGTTCTGTAGCTGCTCTGATCCAACCTGGAAACTAATTTGGTCTACTTCTGGTCTTAGTATCACTCTTTGGACCAAGCTTTATCTTCCAAGACTTCAGTCAGCCTGGTATCACGCATCTCCTTTTGTGATGTTCCAAATACTGTGAAAAAAACCTGCCTCCTCTATTTACAGTAAAACTCGATCCACCTTTGAACCTCCAGAGCAATGCCACTGCCAGCAAGTGTCAGATATGGTGGAGTGTGTGGAATGTGCCTTGGTACCTCGTTGAAATTCTCCAATATGAATTGCAGTATAAGGAGTACAGCATGTCCTGGGAGGTAACTGGATGAGACACACAGTGATGCTGCCTTGCTCTTTGGGCACAACAGCCTTGCCAATCAGCTCAGGGCTCTCTGCCAGCTGACTCTTTTAATCTGGCCTTTCTGGTTTCCCACATCAAGTCTGAAAGATTTTATATAAATCAGTTCTGGAGATCAATAACTCTTCTCATGACCTCTACATTCATAAGTCACCCATCCTCATGCAGGCCCTCTTCTTGCATCTAAGAAAAGAAAATTTGGAAAAGAAAAGGGAAAAAAACCAACAAAAAAGAGTATTTAAAAGACCATCCCTTTGCCCAGCCTTGTTAACAGAAATGCTTTGCAATACTTTTCAGATTGCATTGAACAAGACATCATCCAGTTCACTGCCACAGATAGAAATTGAAGCCACAGAGCTTCGCAGTGGCATTGCTTACATTGCAAGAGTTCGCTGCAAAGTTTCTGAAAATGAGGATTCCTACCACAGTCAGTGGAGTGAGTGGAGCCAGACAACAGTGTTTCAAAGAGCAGGTACAAAGAATGTTGTTTTCATCTTAATTCATTTCATGTCCACGTTCCAAAAAAAAGGAAGATATGTGGAAAAATGGAGCTTTACAAAACAGAACTAGCTTTCTTCAAGTATTCATAGCCAAATTACTTTCCTTGAGGACTTTAGCAGCCTGTTTCATTTGCATTGCTTGGTTATTTGGAGTTCTATCTTGACTTCCAGACTTTTGCTAAAAATTTTTGTGCTGATTGTTTTCCTAGATGCACCAAAACTGTCTGAGAAGATCTTAAATACCACTATGCAGCTCTTGTTCATTCCTCTGAGTTTGGGCACTCTACTCTATTTATTCTGGAACTGCAAGCTTTCTTCAAGGTATGTGATAGTTTTTCATT